TAGTAATTAAGTTTCAAAATAATAATTTAAAGATCTCATTATATTCTTATACATTATTCAAATGTAGAAAACTATTTTTTGTTTGGACATATACTAGAATCATTTAATTTATATTATGTAAAATAATGACGTATATGTAATAAGAAACCGTAATTTATATTTTTTGGAGTTTTTTTATACAGATTTATAATTTCTCACAACTTCTTTTTCCACATTCTTTTTTTTTATTTTGAAAAAGGATTTTTTATTTTGTACAACGAAAATGAACGAAATTAAAAAGTATGAAATATGTGCTTCATCGGTATTACAGACAACAAAATTAATTCGTAGTTTCAGTAGCAAAGTTTTTTTAACATCGTTAATTTTCTCAAGATTCTCCACGTGCACAAAAATTAATATCCATCCCTTTAACAAAAAAATTTGCACGATGGAGGATTAAAAGTATGATTGAATTGCATTGTTGCCAATAGACGAGTTACGTAATCTCTATGATAAGCGAAAAATTTCGCGAAACTAATTCTGCGTACCAGTTTTATTTCGGAGTTCTCGCGTGGTTTTTAATACCGCAATTTTCAATCTTTTGTTCCGGCACCACGTAAGTCTAGGTCGAAGCTAATTCATATCGGCAACCACTATTCGCCTGGTGTAGATTAAAAAAGAATCAAGTTAATCGCGCGACTAGACGAACCCTCGAAGCACCTGTTGATCCTTCTCGTTAAAGTTTGAAGGAAGTGACCTGTCCTGATCCTGCAGACACGCAAAGCAAACGCTAAAGCAGGCAGTGAGACACAAAAAAGTAGCGATACGCCGTTGACTTAATCGACAAATCAGATTTTTTCTTCTCGATTCGACATGACTATATTACATTACATTATCCACTAAATCCAGATCAATGCCAAGATTATTTTGCGCTATTTTACGAATCTCGTCCGATGCTCTAAGAAAATTTCTAGCTCAATTTTCTAGCTAGCAAAGCTACGTACTCACACTTCGCCTGCATAATGTTAGACAAAATCATTTTACATAAAATTATTGGAGGAATGTAATTTGCATACAAAGTGCCATGTAACTATTGTCACTCTTCTCTATTTGTGTATTGAAGTCAAGAACAATAATAGTTCTTATAATGTTCAGATAAATACCATAGTACCTATAAGAAAATTCCAGAATAAAAATGTTCTAATAAATAGTCTTTAGTCTGTCTTTATTCCTCGATTCAAGTTCCTTTCTGTCAAAAATTTTTTTACAAAAAAACACACGATTTATTTCTATCCAATTTACCAATCATTACCGATCCTCTTTCTCGATGCTTACTTTTACCTTTATTAAACTAGTAATAAATTTCTGGAATCTCTATTTCCTATTTTAAATAAGTCATATCAGTTATTTTATCAAACACTAAAAAAAAATGGAATTTATAATTAAGAAATTTTAAGTAGCCCTGATCTAATTTTAAGGATCTTTTCAGGTTCTTAGTTAGTTAAGGTCATCATTTCTTTCCCCCAGTAACTAAATAATATTTAAAATAATTTTTTTTCAAAACAAATTTTTTTAATATAATAATTATTCTAAAAAAATATTATTGATGTAAATAGAGATAATTTTATTATAAAATTAATAATTTTTTGGATAAAACATTTTTAATATCTCGAATAGTTTTCGAGATATAACGAAAAAACTGAAAATTTACACATAAAAGAGGTGATTTCATCCTTTCAAACGTTTTTCCATCGAAACTGATATTTTCTAAATTCATCTTTTTACGTATCCTATATGTACACAAAGTTAATCAAAATTTAACACCTCGCGTTCCCTTGTAATCTTTGGGTTGAACATCTTTGTCTTAAACTTAAGAATTTGAGATACTTTAATGAATTGATTAGATCACCGTATCTCTGAATACAATTGTTACATTTACTTATAAAACGGAGAGAATACATCTTAAGAGATACTTTACCAAGTAAAAACGAAAAACTTAAATATCGATATGGTGACAAGTGAGGTTCTCTTGTGAGATATAAACAATTTAAAACTGTACTTTTTATACATGTCGTTCTATACAAGTTGATGAAAATGTCGCATTTATTTTTATATGGTCTAAATTAGCAGATATGTTAATAAAAAACGAGTATGCAATGAAGCAACATAAACCGGATATTGTAAAAAAAATGTTATAATTTTTTACCGTTTAGTTTGGCAAGTAGAGCTTGAAAAGAATGCAATTTTCGTAAACATTTGTTAATCTGTCATGTGAATTAAAGAGAGTTTATAAGTATAGCAATGAGCTGCGTTATCTATATTCATTTTTTTTCGTATATACGTGCGGCTATGGACAAATAACAAAATTATCTTTCACTGGCGGAAATATCGCCACCGAGCGCGCAGGGACTTAACTTTTGAGGGTGTTATCACGAATGTGGGTGTTATCACTATCTTAATATTGTAATAATACTTAAGATGTAACGTCATTCTCTTCAAAATGGCACATATATATGTTACAAAATTATTTTTAACAATACAATTTAATACAAAATAAGTACTAAATATTCCAACAAAGTCGATTTCAGTTTGCTGTAAAGTTGCTAGCTTAATAAAGCATCTGATATTTACACAATAATCAATTCGTAATCAATATAAAAAGAGTAATAAAAGGACCTAAAGTATCTGAAAATGTAGCTAGAATAAATCTAAAAATAATTTTGTTAGACTTATATATTTATTAAAATTATTATATAGGACGCTTAAATTTATTGCTAGAACGTCAAAACGTTTTGCAGCATTACTTATTATGCTTGAGCGTTCTACATGATTATTTTAGTCCAACAAAATTATTTTCAAATTTGTATCTAGCTTTTTTTTAGATATTTCAACAAAATCATTCTTTTTATGCATAACCTACAGTTGAATATTCCTTTATGAGTACTTTCGAAAAAAAAAAAATCTAAACATAGTGTCATCTAATAAATGTTCGGCAGTAACATTATATGAAAGAAACATGGTCGACGAAGTATAATCTAGACAAACTTCCAAATCGTACGGATAGTAACAAGTAACTATTAGACAATCCTCGGATTACACGTGTGATTGTCAGCTGTCTGAGTGAAAACGCAACAAAAATATCATTGGCATAGATTCGGTCGGACAGAAATAGCGGCTGTGTCATAAAATAGAGGAACAACCAACGCTTCCGAGGAATCGAGAAGCCGCGTTTACGGCGTTTACGGCCGCGGAAGAGATGCATACAAGACTTTTCCGCTTGTGCCGGCGCTCGTTTCCGATATTGGACTGAGAAAGGGAAAAAGAAAATCCGCGGGTTAAAGGAAAAAAGATTTTATAGGCCAGTAAATTCTGCGAGGATAATACTCTTTCGAATCACGATAATATTTTCATCAAATGGAATTTCCTATACCTGATAATTAGATTGAATAATTAGTAGTTTGATGTTTCAAATTGTGTAAACAGTCTATAATTTAATCACGCATATATAAGCGTGTGGTATAAAGCGAATATTTGGCAAATTTTGAGCCAAGTCTTTTCTTTTTAATTATGATAGAAAATTTAATGAAGATATATTTAACAAATTACAAAATAAAATATTTAAAATATTTGATAAGTCTAATATAATGACATGTATATTTATTACATTTATATAAATTATAAATTGTTTTAAGCTCAAGTTGTATATTCACACATACACACATAAAATATGAGAATTATAAAGAATTTTTATAATCTAAATTTTATAATTTTAGATTTTACTCACTCATCTATTAAAGCAGTAATAATTCGGAAAAGTTTGAAAGCATGATAAATGAAAGCGTGCATGGAAAGTGCACGTTATCGAAATAATTTAAAGTGCAAAACATTAAACGTTCGTGAAACTATGTTCCGTACAAAAATGCTACATATGGGCAAGGAACCGTGACGATCTCGTTAAAAAGTTATAACGACGCTAAAGTTGGTCACCAGATTGTGTCAAATACTCAAACTCTCTTGTACTTCAACGGACAATTCACTTCCATTATATAGAGTACATAACTCGACGCATTGTAAGTGCACTATTATACTCTGTTTTCAAATTGAGTTACATGAGTTGTAAATGCAAAATTTGTAAAAATCTCCTTAATTGTATATTTAATATACAAGGGAGATTTTTACAAATTTCGCATTTACAATTCATATAACTCAATATGCTTAAATGCTCCTTAACTGTATATTTAAATTTGTAAAAATCAATTTATCAAGCTTTTTGAACATGAAGAATTCACATAAATTTAGTATCTAATAAATATTTATACGCATATTACTTTTTCGCTTTTTCGCTTTTTAACAATCTTTCAAAATAAAAATACGTTCTATTTTCAAAGATAATATAAGTCTGTCAATTAAAATTATATACATATAGATAAACATACTAAGACAATGACAAAAATTGACACATATGTAGAAGAGGAAATATATTAAGAACGTTGCAAAATATATTTTTACCACAGCGGATAAATTATAATATAATTTGTTCCTAAAAGAAAATGATTGGTTCCTGCTTTTGATTCTTGAATTTAAATGTGTATAAATCAATCATATTGAAAAATTTTATAACAGTTGCAAAGCTATTTTCTCTGCTGAACGCAGCCATTAATTTGTAGTTATGTATATGTATATACATTCCTCCAGGGAAGATCCGTATATCCGTATATCCTTTAAACATTCTAAGGACATCTCCAAAATGTATCTCGGATAAATGTATAGTATAACTATATATATAACTATTATATATGTATGGTATAACTATAATTTGCCTTAATTTAAGTAACAATAAATAAGTAATTACAAAAATGATATGTAAGTAACATAAACGTGCAAGATTTAATATATAACAACGTATTGTAATTTTTGCAACTGACGTATGAAAGAGAGGGAGAGAGAGAGAAACAGATTTCACACATTACAATATGTTGTATATATCAAATTTATAATAATGAATAAAATATTGTATTTACCCCAGCGTAGTCATCGTTACGATGGTGTACCAGAAGGCGGAAGGTATCGAGGTAAAGTTGGTACCGTCGACGTTCTTTTCCGCGTAGAACATGACGGTAGCGAAGATAATGATGGCCATCGCGAGCGAGAACACGAGAAAACCCAACTCGGAAGCGCAGGACTTTAGAGTGTAACCCAGAATACGTAATCCCTGCGAGTGGCGTGAAAATTTGAAGATACGGAACACGCGAAACACGCGTAGCGTCACGAACGCGCCCGACACGTCATCATTGTCGGTGATTCCGAGTCCGATGTAATACGGCAGTATCGCGACCACATCAATTATCGACATCACGGAGCGCGCGAATTTGCATCGGCTGGGTGCGGCGAACAGCCTGAGCAGGTATTCGGCGGTGAAAATCATTACGCACGCTGTGTCCAGGCAGAAGAATACGATCTTGTAACGCTCGCCGCATGAAAGAGTACCGGCACGGCCCGGACGATTGCCACACGGCACAGTCTCCACCACGTTCGCAAGTACGCTCACGGCGATAAAGAATCCGGTGACATAGTAGAATACCAATGCGGCAGTAGAAATGTGCGGATTCTGGAAGGCCCGCCACATCTTCTGCCGAATGTCGAGCAGCTGCTGGAGGTTTTGGTCACCATTCTCACTTAACTTATCGTCCATCAGCCGTTCGGCGTTCTCGCGTTTGCGATCCCTATAGTCCTCGTAACAACAATCGCCAATCACATCCGGCAAGATACCAAAGAATGCAAGTTCCTCATCGTAGCTCGTCAGGCACTCATGCTTCGGATAATGTAGTTTGCCGGTTCTATAATAATTGAGAATGTGCCGGAAGATGTCTGGATCCCGGTCGAAAAAGTACTCCTTGCTCTCCTCGTCGTAGAAGAATTCACGCTCGTTCGAACCGAGTAGCGTGTCCGGATATTTCTCCAGGGTGTTGCGCCACGTCTCGAAGCGACGGCCGCTCACGTTGATCAGCAGCTTCTCGTCGTCAGCCTTGCGCCGGTCTTTCGGGATCGGCGGCGGTGGCAGTGGGTGTGTGGCGATCGGTACCCAACCGATCGCCGCCGCACGGGCGAATGGCAGCCACGCTGCCACCGAGGCCATACTTGAAGGTGGAATCTTCCTTCAGGGTAGCGGGAGAGCCAGCGTTGACCGTACCCGAAGCGTCGGCAACTCTACTCTTGACACGTCAAATCGATTCCCTGTACAAATCTTGACGATCCAGATCTATATATGTAACAAGTCCAACATCGATGATCCGACCCGTATCAATCACTTACGGTAGATACTTGCTTTGACGATGAATAAGATCCTTGAATCATGTAAAGCGTTTTTTTCTTTTTGCCAATTCGAACATTTACAAACTGAAATTTGTGGCACTGCTTGTCACTCAAACATTCGTAGCCATCTCGACGATTACTTCAGTTATCTTTCTTGCAATGAACTTGAAATGATCTTTTTATATTTGCGATTAGCAACTCTTAAAAGATTTTTTTTTACAAAGAGATCCAATAAATCTTTTAAACTTAAAGACTTTTTTCTCCTCTAATTTGTGTTTCCTCCACACAGCGCGGAATACGCTGCTTCTTGCCACGGATCTTCTTAAATCAGTTCGAACTGACATTTGTTTGATTCATGCTTCTTCAAACTCGTCGCACGATCGAATAGTAACGACTACTGACCTAGATTTCTTTCAAAGAACGATCACATTGCTAATTTCTAGATTTAATTCAAGTTCTCGGCTTCTAACGTTCCTTTAATCAGATCTTAGTTTTTAAATCCAAGATCTACTCATTATCCTCTTCCTTACTATCCTTTCTATTTCCTTCTACTTCCATCTACTTATTTCATTTATTTATCTACGAATTTATTTATTTTTCTACTCGTCTCACACAGCTGTGTATATTTAATCTTCTCAACAATCTTTCCTCTTGCGGGAAAACAAATTTGGTTTATGCAAAGATCTTTTATCGTCGCTCTTGTTCTTCAAAATGCAAATATCGAAACAGATTCTTGTCGAGTCTCAATGTCTCGCTGCATTCGTTATAAAATCGCATCGGAGAGATGTAACTAACTAGCCAAATAACATTTGCCCCTCCAACATCGCGACGACGACGACGATGACGACGACGACGACGACGACGGACGACGATGATGATGACGTCGGCGTCGACGGCCTAAGCTCGAGAACGATCCTAAAAATCGTCATTTCACGCTTAGCATTCCTCAAGGTTCTCTCTTTCTCTAGCTCGATCTCTTTAAAAAAGTGTTGAGCTTAACGAAGTGATGACCGGCACGCAGCAGAGCATGATCCGAACGAAGATGCGCGCCGGGCCAACCAACCGCGTTCTGGCAACGTGCCTTCCACCATCATCGATAGTCACGCGATAGCTCTTCGTGGTACTCTTCAGAGTATCGCGCCGGAGATCTTCCACCTGTTTCGGCTCGGTTGGCCGCCGCAAAAGCCTGAGCTTGAATCTCCGCCAGCAAGCAGGACACTACATTCTCTAGTTTTCGAGCTCTCCGTTGAGTCTATACACAGATACGAGTGCACTCCTCGAAGAGACGGCTATCAATGACATTGCTCGTCGATAAAACAATACGTGTTTCTATCGAACCGGATCCAATTCTCACTAATAGTTCACATAACGAGTAACGAAACGTTATTTTTTAATGATAACGAGAAAAAGTATTTTAAAGACTAAAAATGATCACAATTACGAAAATAAGTCTAGAAATTTATGCGAGAGAACATTAGAGACTCTATAAAATTTCTCTTGTACACTTCGTAGGTAAAGATAGAGCTTTTCATAGAATGTTATAAGATATCAAGTATCGAGATATAAAGCTTTCTTCAAAGTGCCATCTTGTAAATGCCAATTGGCTAAGGACGAGAAGAATTTCGTTTCTTGCTTCTGTCTTCAAGCCTTCACTATTATTCGAGCACAATCGTAAACTCGGTCACATCCGTAACGTCGAGATTCAGGTAGATGAAGCTCCGCCGAAGCCGATTATAAAATAGAGGAGAAAACGCTTACGAGTAAACATCAAATCCGTAGCTTTCCGGCGTACTTTTTAAAAGCTCTGCCGTGCTTCGCGTCAGAACAAAAACAGATGTTTGTCACTCGCTCGAGGAGCAAATACCGAGCGAGTTTTGTTCATTGAACACTTCGACCAGCACACACGCGATCTTTCTTCAATTGAGTACGCTCCGCATTTCGCGCAGCGTCTATCTTCGTATGGTCCCGGACTCTTTCCGCGTTGAGCTCTTCTAGCAAGCTCTTCTTGCCGCGGAGCACAAAATACGAAACTATCTTATCGACACGCGCAACTGCTTACGCAAGCATCGTGCGTTTTTCTCCCGCGACGCATCCGGACTATCAAAGCTCAATCCGTTCCTTGCGACGCGCCGACCCGCTAACCCGGAAATTCCGGAAGCTCGCCAGTCGGTCGAAAACCTCCACGATGGAGTTCTTCCCGAGTAGGTAGCGCGTCTCCGCAAGCTCCGGCACTGAAAGCTCCCACGTCGATCTTCCCCCTCAGGCGTCCACCAGGACTATTCTCCGCAAGCTTGCGCGCACTATGTTCGGCTCAGAGAAACTCGATTCTCTCTCTCTCTCTCTCCCTCTCTCTTTTTCCCTCGCTCTCTTTCTCTCTCTTTTTCTCTCTCGCTATGTACCCGATGCCACTTTATACGCGAGTAGTGCTCTCTCATCCGAGCTTTTCCACCGCTGCTCCTCCCGCTGCGAGATGCTTCGTGTCGCGCGCGCGAACAGTGCGTACGCACGCGTGGCTGCGTATATGCGTGTATGCACCGACGACTTCCGTGCGTATACGTAACGGCTGTATCGTGTGGGTGTACGAGTACGTCACGCGTACATGTGTATGTATTGTGTGAGCGCATGTAATATGCCTTTACGCACGCGATACCGACGCGACGCGTCGCGTCGCCAGCACCACGATCGGAGCACCAGCTCGATGAATTGGCCGCTCGCGACTACCGGAGCTTGGCCCGTGGCCCCGAGCTCGTGTGGTTCGTAGTAGTGGTACGGTGGTGGCAGTCGGCAGCCCGGCACCTCCAGAGAAGCGTGGCTCTCGTCGCCTCGCCAGAGAGAGCGGAGCGGCCGCGTCGCAGCAACGCCGTGCGAACGCGGAGCGGTCACCTAGCCAAGGTCTAAATTGATTTTTACGAGCGTCGGCATCCCGACGCGGCGAACGTTTCCCGTTGCCCGGGCAACCCTTCGACGATCATGACGTCACAGTTCCCACTCCTACCCCTTTTGCGTCCACCACCACCATTCGCCTCTATTCTTCAACACCCGATCCGCTACCCCCGTATTTCCACTTTAGCCTACTTGCGCTTCGAGAAACGCTGGTTTTCAGCTTCACTCGCTCGCTCCACACTTTGCACAGTTTTTTTAATGAGAAGAGAAAAAAAGAGATAAAGAAAGAGAGAGAGAGAGAGAGAGAGGAAAGAAGGCAGAAGTTATCCGGACCATCGTGTGTGTGTCTACTTCACACCTTTCATACAAATCCTCGTACTTATCGTTTATATTATCGTTTATGCGAACTCTCCTATTTATTGTTGTGTTTCGTCGTATTTTTTGTATTCATTCATTCATTAAATGTTCTTTGTTCTCGTTATGATTTTTCACATAGATTTACTCTAATGGAGTATTTTTAAACATTTATCTATATATCCCTCAAAACTTCCCAGATAACACCTATTGATTCATATATACGTTTTATATACGTTTTCTAAACGCATCTAATTTTCTACAAACGTTTTAAGAAACGTGTATAAAACCAACATGTGCTACTGGGGTTCTTTCAACTTGAATAATCAATCCCTCAGCACAAATCATCTTTCCCATTTAACTCTGTTTATCTATATTAATGTCAAGACAATCCTACTTTACCAGTTAACTCTTATTCTTTCGAGTAATCTGTCATTTTCCACAGTAATCGAATTTGTTCTATGCCTGCTTATAGTAGATTAAGTCTATTTCTCGATTATAGTTAACCTTGACTCTCTTAATTACATTGTCGTTACAATCTACCTATAAAAAGAGAAGCAGTTATCCAATTTCGTTCAAAAATTAAGGATGTTCAACAAACAGTTGTTCAGAAATTAAGGATGTTTTGGTTATATATTATTAACAGCTAAAAATACATTATTAACCAACAAATCAGCTAAAAATCAAGATACTATCAGCTAATATCAACTAAAAAATTTTTGTCATAAAGACGTTCTGAAACTAGCTAAAAAAAATAAACAACAAATAATTTATAATGGTTTTGTATAACGAAACAATCATATTTTGCTGCAGTAAATAACTTTTAAACGAGTAAATGGGTCCAAATGATTCTTTGCACGAATATTGATCAGAGTTTTATTACTATATAAAAAATTTTGATTTAATTCATAATGCTATGATCTTATTAAATAAGTAGTACAAAACGTGATTTTACATAAAAATCGGGATAAACAAAAAAATTAAATAATTTTTAATAAGAGAATTGTGCTTTGAGATGACACATACATCCGTAAACTCAGTCATTATTTTAACTGTCCAATTTAATACGCGCATGAATGAAATTGATGAATAAAATAAAAGCAACAGCTATTGTTTATTCTGACACGACACATGTTACTAGTAATTTATTTAGTAAATTTTATCCTATTATCTTCTCCTCCTTTCTCATCTTTTGTTTCTCCTCGCTTCGAACAATGTATATTTACTTCTCTCGCTCCTTACTCTATTCGCGCATTCACAAACAAATCCCCACTGAATCCCAAATTCATTCTCTTCAGAATACTTTTCGTTCAATTTTTGCATATTTTTATCGTTTCGCCTATACTACCAATATCAATTCATAGCTGCATTCTTTTCTCTTATATTTTCACTTTGGACTATAATTTCGGATCGTTTGTTCCTCCCTAATGGTCTTCCGTTCCTACCTATTCTTTTTTTTATTTCTTTTTCAATCACTGATTTTTTATCTTTATTTTTCTGCCATATTGCTTTCGCTCTCTTTCTCTAGCCTCGCATTCCTCATCTTCTCAACATATATCGTTTTAATTACAATTTACATTTTTTTATTTAAATTTCTCTTGCTCAAAAAAATTTCATATGACATTTATTTAGTTAACGTAATAGTTTCTCTCGATTTTGTACATATTTACCGTCGCTTTTCATTTATATTTGCGCACGTCACTAATTTCCCGTTCATTACTATCGTAATATCCTTTCACACATTTTTTTCATCTGATAAACGCGCCGACTAAAAAAAAGTCTTTTTCATCCTTCTTTTCCTCTCAACCATTTTTCGGTTCTCTTCCGAATTTATTATCACAGACATCGCACGTTTTCCTTGTATATTCGTTGCATGTACGTTATTTTTCAACTTTCTAGTAGTGAGGCAGATATTTCGTTTAAGCTTCCATTCATTCGTCTTCAACAAAACAACGCGCAGGTGGATTTCACGATGAATTTTTTCTTCATTGAGATTGAATGTATAACAAGCTTTTATTGTCATTATTAGCGCAACTCATTGTAATTTTAAAAAATACATGATTTTATAGGTATATCAGTTTAAAATTAAAATTACAACTCATCATATAACAAATTATATCTGTATAAATAATTACAAAAATAAGTATACATAAGTACAGGTACATCGCTTGTAGGCAGGTAGAGTGGACGCAACAATTAACGAGATATTAATTTCTAACGATTGCCGAATAAGCGGATAAAATCAACATTATAAAATAAGACAACTTTAAGTCATCTCTCTCTTTCAGAGTTTTTTATAAAATCTTAAAAATGTTTCTTAAAGAACTCTTAAAGATATCTTAAAAAGGATCGCGAAAATTGCAAAGTGCTAAAGAACTTTTCAACTCAGTTTAGCTCGTTCTGCTCACAAGTCGTTTGTCAAGAAATGTGATAATTGTATGTATATATATATATATATATATATATATTTATATTATTTCTACAAGAGAGAGATGTCCCACATTTCTTGATATACGACTTGTATACTATACTTATATATATAATAATATAAATATA